ATGCTGCTTGGCCTGCTGTGTTCATCCAGCTCTACACCTTGTTATCTCAGATTTTCCAGCATCTGCATTTCCTACTATCTCTGATATATGGTTACAGACATGTAATCTTCCCAAGAGAGAAGGGTGCGATGTGTATTGACAAAAAGAGGACTATGAATGAAAAAAGGAGAGCTTGCGATCGTGTCAGTGAATGGAAGGTTGGACAGGAACTGACAGAGGGGAAGAGTTTCTATCAAGTATTAACGTCTTTTGCCAATGCAGCGTCTCATGGGCACAGTGTGAGCTCACCAGAGTCTTGGGCTTCAGCAGTGCCAATGGTTAGGATTGAAATGAGGTTTGTAAGGATCTCTGTGTGGGCACATGGATCAGGGAGGACTGTAAGGAAGTACTAGTGATGAAGATTCTTCCTTGGATCCAAATCTCTTAAGAGCATAGTCTGCAGAGGTAAGATTGAGGCTAGCCCACTTTGGTTCAAAGCCAGCCTCTCAAAAGAGAGATGCATGGAGAGCTGTGTCTGATTGGTGGGTAGAGAGAGCGAGGCACTGCCAAGTTCATGATTTGGTGTATGACCTGCTTTACCAGGTAAGGAATCTGCCACACCTTGACAGAAAACAAGGCAACCACTCACAAAACTTCCCTCTCACACTGTGTGAACATGCTCACCATCAGTGTCCAGGACACTATGCAGCACCTTCCACAAGCCTAGTCCTTCTGTGAACAGCCTTTCCATTTCCTGGAGGTTGGTGTTAGATCTGTGGATTTCAAATCTGCAGTTGTCACACTTGTTAATCCTAGAGGTTAAGTGCTGGTTAGATAGAGTCCAGGTGTATACTTTTCTAGGCAGAGTTTTAATCTCAGATTTTACAAGTACCAGTAAAACTGATAGGTTGTTCCCCAGATATGATGATATTTTCCAAATCAATATGTCCAGGGATGTTGGGATAGATCTCAGGAGTAGGTAGGACTTAAACCTGGGTCTCCTGGCTCAGAGGAAGGGATACTACCACTGCACCACAAGAGCCCTCAATCCCTTCCTCCCATTATGTATTCCCAGTCAAATGCTCACCAAATTATCCTTTAATTAAGAAATAATCAATCCCCTAACTCCATTTGGTCTCCAGTATCCCTGTCAGACCTGCCTAGATTATAACAACTGTACATTGACAGTGTTTAGTGCTCTGGTCAGACCGTATCTTGAGTATTGAGCTCAGTCCTGATCATCAAACCAGAAAAGAACCCAGATTTTAATAGTATTGTTAAGAAGGACAGAAAGTCTCATTTCTCATGTCAAAGGGTGGAATAATGAGGAGGTATTTTTAAAACCTCCAACTTTTCAACTTTGAAAATGTCCGAGGAGTCCTTTTAAAAATTCAGCAGAGTGAAAATACTAATTGGAAGGACTGAATCGAACTAAACCACAATCACAAGACTAAGAAAGGTAAAAGGCATATTAGAACCAGTATTTATAAGCATTTCTTCATACAGAGTGATTAATAATTAAATGGTCTCAAGTAGAGTGGTGAAGGCTAATATTCTGGATTAATACAAAAAGCAAAGTGTGAGGGACTTTAGGTTTCAGTGTAACAATATCCCTGGAAGGGAGTTAATTGGTTTTCTGATTGTAACATCATTAGGTTCCAAGAAATGCCTATATGACCTGGAGGTCACCATGTAGTTGAGCAGCAAAGCAGCAAAAGGTAAATAGAAAGCTAATTGCAGTGTTGTCTGTGTTTTCTGTTTGGCAGTTTAACAGTTTAGGGCGTAATGAGGATTTAGGTAAGAGGGAAAAGCAAGACTATCACTGAACGGAACAGATTTTTTGCTTGGCAGTTTTTGATCAAAGCCTGGTGTTCATGTATGACAAGAAGAATACAGCAGAGACTGTTACTGTATGTTATGTTGGAAAGAACAAACGGTGGAAAAAGAATGAAAGGGAAGGAAATGTGAATTGGACATTGTGGTAGCCCCTAATGCTGCCAAAGCTCACCAGTTTAGAGGGTTCAAGGAGGGAATCTTTAGGGATTCTGTAACATCAGACTGTCACGCTTTGAGACAGAGAGGGTTTGCAGATGTATGCTGTGTCGGTAGTAACTGACTTCATATGGAATGAAGCTGCAGCTGCATGCATCTTGAGAGATTTTGGAAGATAAATGAGAGATCCTATGAAATGAAGGATGAGAAGAAAGACTGTGAATTGCACGTAGTATCACGTTTGTGCAGGAAGTAATGCAATTGTTATAACTATACAAGGTGAATCTTTGTATATATCTGTTATTGAAAGAGAACTTGCTATTTTGAAATATAAAAATCCACCCACGATCCTTCGGCAGTCTCTTCCAAACCCACAGCCACTTCCTTCTAAGGGGATAGGGGCTGCAGGTACATGGAAACTCCACCACCTGCAAGATCCCCTCCAAGCCTCTCATCATCCTGATTTGGAAATATATCGTCGTTCCTTCACTGTTGTTGGGTAAAAATCCTGGAATTCTCTCCCTAACGGCATTGTGGGCCATCCTACAGCATGTGGACTGCAGTGGTTCAAGATGGCAGCTCAATACCACCTTCTCAAGGGCACCTAGGGATGGGCAATAAATGCTGACCAGCCAGGATGCCTACATCCCACCGATGAATAAAAAAAAATTCTTCACCTGTTAATTAATGTGCGAGTAATGTTCAGTTTAATTGGTGTATTACAGTAAAAGCCTTCAAAAGTGATATCATCAGTTTTCTTTTTAACAGTTCAGTGCAGAGTGTTTTCTTTTAAAAGTTAACAGTCTACATGGGAATTATAAACGCGCCTCAGAAAATACTTCTACCTTTTATTTTGTTGGATGGGTAAAGAAATGTTGAATATGAACATAATTGGAGGAGGAAAGTAGATTTTCTCAGTACAGGACAAAATAAAGGAAGAATGGTGAGAATAAAGGCTGATGGCAGCACTAATGTTCTTATTTTTCAGGGAGCCACTGAGCTCCCATTACCAGAAGCTGCAGTAACAACTTGCATTTATGTAACACCTTTAACAAAGTGAGCAGTCCTAAGGCATTCCGCAGGGCATGATCAGACTGAAAGTAATGCTGAGCCAAAGAAGGAGCTATTAGTACAGACAGCTGAAAAATTTGACCAAAGAATCTGAGTTTTTTGAAGGTGGGAAAAAGGAGTGAAGGATGGAGAAGATGAGGTAGGGAATTCTGGAGCTTTAGTGTCTAGATGGCTGAAAGGATGAAGGATGTAAAGGTGCAGAATTGGGAATACTCTTGAATTCTCTCTGGGTTGTCGGGATCAGAGGAGGCGACAGAGACAGGAGAGGTGAGGCCATGGAAGGATCTCAGTCCAAACCAGGAGGCAGTATAAGTCAATGAGCACAGGAACAATAGATTAATGAGCCTTGGTGTGATGAAGAATATGGTCTTCAGGGTGTTGGAATAGCTCTCGGAGGGGTGGGAAATCATGGCTATAGTAACGTGTGTAGGTAACATGAGTGTGGATGAGGATTTCAGCAGCAGTTGAGCTGAGGCATTACTGGAGTTGGGCGATGTTTGTGCAGCGTTCACATTTTGGGAGGTTTTGCCTGTTGACCTAGTAAGCCGAGATATCTTTTCCTGTTCTGTATTCCAGCGCCTGCAGAATTTGTGCAGTACCCGCAATCCATATCCAGGCCGGTAGGGACCACAGCCATTTTCAACTGCCTGGCTCAGGGAGAACCGATCCCACAACTTACCTGGCTGAAAAACGGGGAGATCCTTGCCCCCAGCGGTCACATCAAACTGAAAAACAACAACAAGTGAGTGCCAGCAGAATGGAATACACCATCCACGACCTGTGACTTACAGACAGACTTTGGGAGTGTCTCTTATCCTGTAACTATGTCCCCTAGTTTGAGATTTGCCCACTCGTCTTCTCAATATCTACCCTGTAAAACTCCTTCAGATTCTGGTGTGTTTTAATAAAATCACCTCCCATCCTTCTCAACTCTAATCAATCAAGGCCTGACCTGTTTAGCCATCGTTGATACGTCAACACCTTCATCCCAGGAATAAGTCCAGTGAATCTCTTTTGAACTGTCTCCAATGTCATGCATCCTTTCAAATACAGGGACCAACACTGTACAGAGTACTCCAAGTGCAGCCTTGCTGACACACTGTAAAACTATAACAAAACTTATTTGTTTTCAAGCTTCAAACCCCCAGCAATAAGGAGCAAAATTCCATTTGCCTTTTAAGTTAATTGCTGCAACTGCATACTAACTTCTCGTGTTTCACGCAAAAGAACATTCCAGTTCCTCTGTGCTGCATTAGACATTTGATCCTCGGAAGGGTTCTTCCTTGTTTATGTTATTTTTCCACCCTGACTATATATTTTAAACCATTTGTTATTCTTAATCAGCAAAATATGCAGCCTGCTCAATGTATTTTTAAATGTGTATGTATTGCTATTGTTATTCCTCAAAGGAAGTATGTTTTCTCAGTTGCACTTCAATCCACAGGGGACTGATTTTAGCATTCAGGGTAAAAAACGTTGTTGGTGCTGATCATGTTTCCATGACCACTGACTGTAAATTAAGAAGATTAAAGCACCTAATCAAAACAGCAGGCTAAACAAGATGGCAGCTGAATTAATGGGTCGCAGGAACGTAGCAGCTAATTGTTAGAATACTTTGATTAGTTCTGTCATTGAGACCTCCTGTGTTTCCAGAAATGATTCCAGGTCAAGATGGGGTTAGCAGCTTTGTTGGATTTTAATTTGTGTACTTTTACCCACAATCCCTTCTCCCAAAGGCTACAGGAGTCCAAGAGGTCCAGCACTCCCCAGGGTTAAGAGACATTTCACTAATCCTCAAAGGTTCACAGTCCCTTCAATCTCTGTCACATGTTGCGAGTGTTTTGTAGGTCATGCTACGAGCACGATTTAATTCAGGAAAGATATCCTGCTTCTGATACTCCCTGCTATCAAAAGCAGGATTCTCTGGAGTTTCTTCTGACTGATCTTGGAAGGTGGGATGGAGGGGGTAAAATTAGGGGAGACATTCCCAATCAACCCCAAGGAAAACTCCAACTCTTGACTGTTGCTCTGTCTGCTCTGGCAGTCAGTTGATTTATTTTCTGTTCTCGTGACGTGAGAGTGAACTTTAGCAGTACCTGATGGAGAAACTCTCTTGTGGCATTTGAGGCCAGTCTTTCCAACTTGAGTTTAAGCTCCATAGTTTCCAGTCCCCAATTTTATTTGTTTTCCAGTCCCAGAGGAATGCCTTTTGTGTTCAGATCCCCTTTGCTTCCAGTGTCTCAGCCCCTCTGTGTTGTGGTTCTTTTGTCTGGGGAAAGACACAGCACTGGTCTGGCCTTACGACCTTCCGATAATCTGTCATGCTGACTGCTTGTGTGCAGGGTAACGGCCTTTGACTGTTTTTCTCTCAATAGACTGGAACTTTTTATATATGAATATATATGTATCTCTCTCACTTTGGTGCAAATGTGTGCTGGTACTAACTCTGCATTGACTTTCCCTCAGTTCTGTCAGTCCATTTTATTGGACACAAACCCTTCACAGGCATGTAATGTGAATTACAGGAAACAGTCAGACTCTCTCCACTGTTGCTACATTTCCCAGTGAGGTGTAAATGACACTGAGCCTTAATGAGAATTTAAAAGGAAGCAATTCTGAATGTAGTGGCTATTTCAGCTGGGCGTTCTCATTCCAAAGGATGATAAATGCTAAGGCTGCGAAGAATTTGCTCTCAATATCTAGCGCTGAATCGATTAAAGCTAACATTGAGTACAATGGTGTAGAAATGTGACGGTTTGAGGTATAGTGTGTGTGGCTGCGTGTTTAGTTCGATGGCACGTCCTGCATACACTTGTTAACTGTGGGCATTCACCACCTGTCATATTGGGCAACGTAGCAAACGAAGTCCCCAGGACACTCTGGCTGAAACATTCAGAAGGCCCAAAGCCTAGTAGGAACATCAATAACAGGAGCAGGGATAGACTACTCGGTGCCTTAGCCCCCTCTGCCACTCAACAGCTGATCTTCTACCTCAATGGCTTTTTCCAGTCCTATCCCCCATATGATGTCTTTCAATCTGGGCATCTATCGACCTCTACCCTGGATGTACTCAGTGAGAAAACCGCCCGATTAGTGTATTCAAAAGATTCACTGGCAGGGGAGACTCAGTGAGGAAATTCCTCCTCTTCTCAATCCTAAACCGCCTCCCTCTTATTCTGCAAGCATACGAACAAGGGACAAGACTAGTCTTGGCTCCATCATTCACTAGAATAATTTTTAAGTCCAACTCTACATTTCTGCATCCCTCCAAAAATCTTTCATTTTCCCCCCTGCATCCTTTCACACACATACACATACCCCCTCTAAATGGACAATCTATCTACATCTGCTGTAAGCATTGACAGAGTCGGTCTCTCTTGTTTTAGAATCCCACCTGACCTCCCAGCCAGTGGGAAGATGCTTCCTGTATCGAGATTGTTAAGCCCCTTTAAGAAATTTGTATATTTTAAGCTTGCTGAAGCTCCTCTTCTGAAGCTGTCACGAAGGAAACATAAACCCCTCAGCTTGATACCTTGCCATCAGTGTGCTGTGACCCCATGGTAACCCCCTTCCACTCCCCCCATCATGAACTCTGATAAAAAGGAAAGAAATTCTTTTCACATTTTTACATCACAGGATAGTTCAAGAGCTGTGTCTCACCCATCGATAGGCCTCCCCAGTAAAGAGAGGAAATGGCTGCCTTCAGAAGGAAAGCAGTGAGTTTATTCACTGCCGCAGTATCTAACCCAGGAGTGGAGAGGGAAGACACTGACAATGGGCGTTAAAGGAGTCTCTTTGATCTCTTGTCTCACTGAAGTTTATTAATCCCATCAGGATGAAGCATTCAATAGGAAACTCCCAGAACTCCAGGAAGCCTTTGCATACAAGCAGACCTTTCTATTTCAAAGTGAAATGTCTTTCATTTGAATGTGGGTGCCCCGATTGAAGTGTGCAGTAACGAACACGTGTCCACTCTCCACACAATGAAATGTTCACATCCATTAAGTTTGTTGGGAGAGGGGCCTACACATACCTTTCATATTATAGGCTAGCACGGAAGCTTCTCAATCGTAAACTGAAACGAACAGACAAGAGCTTTCGTAAATATTCTTCAGTTGTTTTACGTTTAGTGTCTGGTGTGTGTTATTTGGATCTAAAATTAATTTTACATGTGATGCCATTGACTTTGGGGATTTTTGTTCATAAAGCAATGGAGATTTCTGTTGAATTTAGGATCGAGTTCTGTCAGCAATTGTTAAGTGTCTGGAGAGGAATTTTCTTTTCAGTAGTTTGTTTGCCTTTGGATGTGGTACCTTTTCATTTCTAATCTCTTAATGTAAAACAACATCACAAATGACGTCACATAAAAGGATCTTGAATGTTTCTGAAGACACTGACCCCTGGGATTACCACACAGGGAGTCTCCCTTTCTACTGATGGTACTTTAGTAGAGGATTCACATGTAAACAGGAATTGGTGGTATTACTGTGTTCCAGCGCAATAGTCTTACCATTTCCACAGAGATTCCGACCAGCAGCAGCATTAATTGTTATTCCCTAGGCTGATGGGCGGCGGCGATACGAAGTAGATCTGACGTTTTTGTCTGTTACTTAGTAAGTTGTCATTGGTGCAGCACGGACCCAGCAACCAGCTAATATGGCTCCTGTACACCCAATTGCCTAAGAAATTATAGGCTGCGTGTTCAGTGGGAAGTTGGAAGAAGAAAATCCAATGGGTGGCAGTAGGAGCAGTACACTTGGCTTCAGGATTTGAGAGAGAGAGAGACATTATCCATAGTTCCACCCTCCCCGATATTAGCTGGCGTTCCCTATTAGGAAGTGTGCTTTTGTGGGCAACAAAGAAGGACGAACCATGCTTGAGTTTTGTACCCTGTGGAATCTGCCATTATTTAGTCACCTCGCAGGATGCGTTCCGAGTGAAGTATCTGATAGTTGCCAACACCCAGTGGAACGATACTCCAGTCAGGGTCAGTACTTCCACTCCAGCGAAGAATCCTGGCAAAGGAGGAAATAGGACAGTCATACGCCATTCTAATAATCCTGATTAAAAAGTCAGAAGTCACACGACACCAGGTTGTAGTCCAATAGGTTTAATTGAAATCACCAGCTTTCGGAACGTGACCCCTTTGTCAGGCTCACCTTTGTGCACCCCACTCTGGCACTGGCAGCTCCACATCCTGATTAAAAGTGGCAGTCAAAACGATGGGTTTCAGTCAGTTATATCTGTCTCCTGACAGTTCAGCTGTACGTTCATTATCTTCTCCAAAAGTAGTTCTGCAAAGCACATTAACTTTTGAGATGATGTCCATTTGCAGTGCTTGGCCTTAGAGAAAAAAACACCTGGAATGCATATTATTTATTTACCAAGGTGAGGATCCGTGACACAGTCCGAATACTCTGCTAAAGACTTTGCTTTAAATAAAGCTGTACTTACTTGCCTAAACCTGTCATGAATCACATCCGATTAACCCATCCCACCAACTTCCAGAAATAAACCAGTCTGTAAATGTGCTAAAGGGCTCTCACTATTCCATAAATCCTTACAGTGCTGTGCTGGGAAATTCTTCCTGGACAATGGAAATAGCACTTGCCAATTACTGAGCATTGTGGAATCTCACAGGCTCCTGAATCTCACAGGCTCTGACTCGCAACAAATACTGAAGTATGTTGAGAATATTCTCACGCACTTGGCGCTTGTGAAATATCACAGTTTGGCTGTCAAAGCAGACCCTGCCCTCAGCCATTCTTTCAAAGTGTCACCTTCCAGCCAGTGAAAAATGATTCATGTCGTATGACCTCAATTGTTATCTGACGAAATCATTATGAAGAATGCAGCTGTTCAGTCACTGGCTACTTCAAGTTTGAATCTCTCCAGTTTAATGCTTCACCGGTAGCCCAAACCATAAGATGTTATCATCAGTTAAGAGCCCATGGTGTTGGAGGTCGTGTATTAACATGGTTAGAGGATTATGGTGCTGTGGTAGTGTCCTTATCTCTAGCACCCAAGTTCAATGGGGAAAGCAAATGAAATGTTGGCCTTTATTTCAAAGGGATTGGCATATTAAAATAGGAAGATATTGCTAAAACATGGTACTGCCTGGAAGATTATGAACAATTTAGGTCCCCTTATCTAAGGAAAGATGTACTGATGTCAAAGGCAGTCCAGAGAATGTTCACTCAGCTGATCCTGGTTATGGAGGGACTGTTTGATGAGGAGAGGTTGTGTACGGTGGTCTTGCACCTGTTGCAGTTTTAGTAGAACGTGAGGTGACCTTATTGAAGATTCCTAGGGAGCTTCACAGGGTAGATGTGGAGAGGCTGTATTCCCTCGTGGAAAAGCCAGGCCCCAAAGCGGACATAATCTCAGAGTAAGGGATCACCAAGTTCAGTATTTCTTGAGTTAAGATAAGGAATTTCATCTATCAGTGGGCGATGAATCTGTGAAATTCTTTACTGCATGGGCCTGCCAAGGCTGAGTCGTTAAGAATATTCAAGGCTGAGATAGATTTGTAATCAATAAGGGAGTCAGGGCGCATGGGGAAAAGGCAGGAAAATGGAGTTGAGGATTGCCATCGGAGTACACAAGATGGACTGATTTGCCTATCTCTACTCCTATGTCTTAACTGTTTAACCAATTCTAATGCCTCTCCACCACTATCCATCTTTGTGGGATCGTCTTCTTATGATTCCCCTTCCTGTAAAGGTTTCCCTTCGTACCCTCCGAAGATCATCCAAACCCTTGGTGCATAACCTGGGAACATGGCCTCAATGTTTAAGATGCATACCAATTAAACTCTCTACATCTCTCACTGCTGTGTATTATACTAGCTGATTGCAATGTTAGGAGGGGCTTGACAGTTGGCTTTAGCAACCTTCGAATAAGGAAAGGGCAGTTGGGCAGGATCTCCACAGTTGCAATTTGCTTTTCAGTGGTGCTGTTAGAACATTTACAAGCTGGATGAACAAAGATTACTTTGACATTGGGCGAATGGTTTCCAGCATTCATTCTTAAGGCTCACTCAGGTTGAATAGTTGCACAAGGTTGATTGGTGCCAATGGAACTGTATGTAAAAAGTAATCATCTTCAAGAGCAGCAAAGAAAGAATTATAAGAGAAAATTGGGAAGGAAAAATGATCAAGAACAATCAATGCTGCCAGCGCAGTGTTGGTTTGCAAGTTGTATGATGCATTTTGATGTTGTTTTCTTTCTTTTCCTAGTACACTTACAATAAATGGAATTTCTCCAGATGATGAAGCAATCTACCAGTGTATTGCTGAGAATGACGCAGGATCAACCCAAGCTAGTGCACGGTTAACAGTGCTGTGGGCTGAGGGACTTCCAGGACCCCCCACGGATGTGAAAGCTGTAGCTCTGTCTGCGACAGCCATTCATGTGTCATGGACTGAGCCGTCTGAGAATACGCGAGACATTATCGGCTACGTGCTGCACATCAGGAAAACTGCAGGTGGGCAAACGACTCCCTGCTTTCACGTGACCTGTTTGATTCACTCACTCAGTTTATGTAATGGTGCTGGGGTGGGATGTAGCTGATGCAATATATATCAGTACTTCCAGCAAAACTCAATCATCGCAAGGTAGTTCGTTAATAATTTCTGCATAGTTTCAGAATAAATTTATAACAAGCTATACTACTCACCACCACCTTCACTACTCACCACAATCATGTTGCTGTGAGTCTGGAGTCACATGTAGACCAGACCAGGTATGCAAGGCAGATTTCCTTTTCTGAAGGACATCAGTGAACTAGATGGATTTTTCTGACAATTGACAATGGATTCATGGTCATCATTAGACTCTTAATTCCAGATTTTTTTTAATAGAATTCAAATTCCACCATCTGCCATGGTGGGATTCAAGCCCAGGTTCCCAGAACATTACCTGCGTCTCTGGATTAATATCAACGATAATACCACTAGCCATCGCCTCCCCCAATTTAAGTTATTTCAGAATAACTCAACCATCTGTGATTTCTCTAAAATGTAGGGTACCCTAACAACATCCAGTGTACTGCTACAGAGTTTCAATGTTTTGACCCAGTGACAGTAAAGGGGCAGTGATAAATTTCCAAGTCAGGATGGTTTTTGGCTCGAAGGGGAAACATGCAGCTGTGGTGTTCCTGTGCAATGACTATATATCCTGTCCACAAGGAAGGACTCACTCAGCTCCTCAGTAACAAATACTACCTTTGGCATAAAAATCCTGTCCGTTGGTATTTTTGAAATCAATGTCTCTCTAGGTCCCAAATTATTTGTTTTTGTAACTGAGCAGTCCCCTGACCTTCGTGAGAAGGTATGTTTTGCATTAAGCTGTCAGTGGAGTACATAATGCCACTAGTAAATTCCTTTGCAACCCTTATTCTGAAGGGCAAGCTAAACAAACCAAAAGAGCTGTTAGTTTCTAAAATTAGAAACTGCAAAATATTCACAAGTGAGGAAAGACATTCACATCTCGGTTTGTTTGTCCAGACAGGTTGTAGTTTCCCCACCACCAGGCTAGTTCTGGTTTCTCCTGAATGTCGAAATCATTTGTGGAATATGTAGCCTGCATAATTTTTTCTTCCATTGTGCACCTTCTGTCAACGTTAAATTGAATCTGCCGTCGCATTGCACACATGTCTTTTACACACTGATTCTGTAATTTCCAATTTCCAGCACTGCCTCTTGCAATTTCATTACCCCTTATTCTCCAGCTCCCCCGCCCCGACCAAAAGTTTGGTATCATCAGCAGATTTCCCTGTTTGATTGAATTGCTGAACCGAAGTCACTATGTAAATAAGAAACAGTGGCGATCTCAATGTTGAGCCTTGGGTTACCTCACTCAGTATTTATTCCCACTTTGATGAAAGCAGTTTTGTTTCCAATGCTTCATGTCATTTCTTTTTGAGACCTAAGGCTTACTGCTAATGTCTTCTTTGTTGGATCTTTGTCAAAATGTCTGTTTGAAGACCAGTCATATCTTGGTCTCGGAAATTCTGCAGTTCCTGCTTCCAAGGACAGGTTGAGAAAGTTGTTAGGCTGGATACTTGCTTGTCAACCTATGTATAATTGTTGTCTTTCAAAGTTATTGTAGTTTGTCTTGTTTTGGTGCTATCAGTTACCAGAAGCCCCAGACCCTGCTTACCAAGAGACTGCAGGTTTTCTGATTGCAACATTAACAGGGCAGCACGGTGGCTCAGTGCAAGGCAGCACGGTGGCTCAGTGGTTAGCACTGCTGCCTCACAGCGCCAGGGACCTGGGTTCAGTTTCACCCTCAGGTGACTGTCTGTGTGGACTTTGCACATTCTCCCCATGTCTGCGTGGCTTTCCTCTGGGTGCTCCGGTTTCCTCCCACAGCCCAAAGATGTGCAGGCTAGGTGAATTGGCCATGCTAAATTGCCCGTAGTGTTCAGGGATGTTTAGGTTAGGTGGGTTAGACATGGGAAGTCAGGGGAATGGGTCTGGGTGGGATGCTCTTCAGAGGGGCAGTGTGGCCTTGTTGGGCCGAATGGCCTGTTTCCGCACTGCAGGGATTCTATGATCCATGATTAAGTCGCAGTCTTATTTCAGAGGGTTTAATTTGTGAGAAGTGGCCCTTTCTCCCAGATATTTCAGACTTTGGACTTGGCCCTGACTGACTAACTTAGCAGCTTTTAACTTCTGTAACCTGAAGTTGATTGACTATTGAATGATTACTGGTGTAGAGTAGGCATGGGTGTTGCCAGGCTGTACTTCCTATTATCTTGTTCGTTTCGTAGACCCAGTGGAGATGGAGTACCAGGAGGCTGTGAGCAAAACCACCTTACAGCAAGTGGTAACTGATCTGCAGCCATCGACTGGCTACACTTTCTACATAAAGGCGTACACATCACGAGGTGCCAGCAAACCATCGGAGCTAGCTACCTGCAGCACACGGGGCGAAGGTAAGTAGCACAGAGGTGGAGTGTGTGATCATTTCTGAGACACACATTATAGATGACAGAATGTTTTACTAACCTTTTGACACAGAAATATTTCATTTTGCATTACTGAGGCATGTTGGAATTGCAGCTATTCAAAGCTGAGGTTAATTCTGTGGTAGTTACATTCATTCATTTTAGGATTGTATCAGTGGTTCATGAGGGGAGCCTGAGTGAGCTTGTTTTCACTTTCTTCATTAACGTTGCTGCTAATTGAGATGATGAGATATTAAATAGTTCCCATCTTCAGTCCAGGCCCTAGAAAACCTGAGCAGTTTTTAAACTAAGGACAGGCTTGGAATTTGGAGAAAATTGTTGAAACGGAAGAGAAATGTGAAGAAGTGTCAGAGTGAACATAAGAAAGTTTCTCAGAATAGGCTGGAAAACAAACCATGCAATGCAGACTGACTGCCTTATCAAGTACAATGTAGACATTTAAAAACCCTGCTTTCTTCCAAAGCTGGGATCCTTCTCTTGAACCAAAGGAAAAAGGGTGACCATGCACTTTTGGATTTAAACAACATCTTAACAATAATTATTGTTGCCCTGGATTGAGGCAGTGGCCTGCTTGTAATTATCTTTGTGCTGTGGGAATACTCTACATATGCGATATCTTCATGACTGGTGTATAGTAACAGACATCAGTGGTATTATGGTATCAGTGATGCATGAGCTATGTGGTAGCGGGCAGGAGTTTGGTGCCTACTTTTTGCAGTGCCCATGCCATAATCCCCTGTCTTTTTGATGTTTCAGTTCCAGCAGTACCAGCTCTTTTCATTAAAGTTTTGAACAGTACAGCCATTCAGGCTGTATGGGAATCCAGCATTAAGCTTGGGCAGCATGAAGGATTCAAGTTGTATTATCGCAGGATTCATGGTGCACACTTCATCGGGCCTGTACTCCTTCCAAGCAACGTGACATCGTACAACATAACTCAGTTGGGTAAGAGGACTGTGTTGAACATCACCTGTAAAGGGGTAGACAGGGGTTAAGATTGGTAGAACAAAAACCGTTCCTGGAGACTTGTTGAATCTGTACTTGTAGGGGCAGAATGTAGATTGACTCTGGAGATGTTCCCAACTGAACAGATTGTAATTTGATGCATGCCATGCTCCAGATAGAAAGGCAGGGTCAAATGGAGCTCAGATTGGAGAACTGATATAAGCATTGTCAGAGTGGCATTAAACTCATGCTGTCTTTTGAATTTGGCTTCCCAGGTTGGAGTGTGGGTTTAATAAATGTATTCAGCAGACAACATCAGGAGTGGTTCTAGAGTGACAATGCATAAATAGAAACTTGATGAGATGACCTCTATCTCTCTCTCTTTCATTTTAACTGCCTTTTTTTTGAGAGCATGTTTGTAAAACTGATTTGTGTTTTGTACAAGATCCAATGATTGCCTATGAAGTGAAGCTTCTCGCATTTAATCGTCATGGAGATGGAAATTCCACAGTTCGCTTTGTGGCTCTGCAAGATGCTGTTGAAAGATCTGGGGGTGAGTCAACCAGGCCCAGGCCATGAATAAATAGGACAGGAGCTTGAAATCAAATGCATCATCTGCCGAGGCTCTAGTTGGGGCAAGTCATCAACCAAATGTTTTTCAAGGACTCATATTTACTGAAACATCAGATTGGTCAGCACTGACTGTGTGCGTGTTGTTCCAGCTGATGAAGTTACATATGGCTACATTAGTAGCAGTGGTGAATGTTTAAGTGTCCATGGTACTATTTGTGCAAGGTCAGAACCTGTATCCTGATCTGCATCTCTTTCTGTGTCAACTAATGCCACGAAAATGGACCTTCACCTTATTTCTGTTTATGGGCTATCACTGAGCTGAAATGGTTCACATGTCTGACAGAGTACAAAAAGAAGTGACTCAATTTGCATATGATTGATTGAGTTAAACCAGTGAATCTGAAAGTGTGAGACAACAAGGTGCAGGGCTGGATGAACACAGCAGGCCAAGCAGCATCATAGGAGCAGAGAGGCTGACGTTTCGGGCCTAGACCCTTCATCAGAAAAGGGGGAGGGGAAGGGGGTTTTGAAATAAATAGGGAGAGAGTGGGAGGCGGATAGAAGAGGGATAGAGGAGAGGATAGGTGGAGAGGAAACAAACAGGTCGAAGAGGCGGGGACGGGGCCAGGAAAGGTGAGTGTAGGTAGGGAGTTAGGAAGGGGATAGGTCAGTCCAG